TTAGTGGCCAACATCAAAAAGCCAGGCACTCTTTCATAAAAATCGATCTCCAGGTTTTCTTTAGAAATCTGAAGGTCTGACCACGGTGGGCCCAGGGTCCCTCACAGCAGTGGTTTGCTGGAGCTGAGGGTCCCTCGTCACCCTCTGCAGGGGTGGGCTGCCCAACTGTTACCCACACCCACCCCACCGCAGCCACTTTATCCCTCGTGTTCATCATCATAAGTTTGCTGTTATTGTTTTTCTAATAGTAGAATTAAGAGAAAAGTGAAATATTTCTTGTCTCCATGTCTCTGTGAAAAGTGGGAAAACGAAAGATAGACCAAGAGGGCCGTGTGTTTCAAGAAAAGTGGGAAAGAGCATATTTCTTCGTGGAAGTGCAGAATATTCCAACATGTCTGATATGCAAACAAAGCATGTCTGTGTCCAAAGAATACAACCTGAGACGTCATTACCAGACCAACCACAGCAAGCACTACGACCAGTATACCGAAAAGATGCGCGATGAGAAGCTTCATGAGTTAAAAAAAGGGCTCAGAAAGTATCTCTTAGGGTCATCAGAAATTGAGTGTCCTGAACAAAAACAGGTATTTGCAAATGTGAATCCAACTGAAAATGCTGCCGTGCAGCCTGTAGAAGATGTGGCTGGGAACTTATGGGAGAAGTTACGTGAAAAAATCAGGTCGTTTGTGGCGTATTCTATTGCAATTGATGAGATCACAGATATAAATAATACCACCCAGTTGGCCATATTCATCCGTGGTGTCGATGAGAATTTTGATGTGTCCGAAGAACTTCTGGACACGGTGCCCATGACAGGTACAAAATCAGGAAATGAGATATTTTTGCGGGTTGAGAAAAGTCTGAAAAAGTTCAACATCGACTGGTCCAAATTAGTAAGCGTGGCCTCCACTGGCACTCCTGCAATGGTCGATGCCAGTAACGGGCTCGTCACAAAACTGAAGTCCAGGGTGGCGATGTTTTGCAAGGGCTCGGAACTGAAGTCCGTGTGTTGCATCATTCACCCGGAATCCCTGTGCGCCCAAAAGCTGAAGATGGCCCACGTCATGGACGTGGTGGTGAACTCTGTGAACTGGATCTGCTCCCGGGGACTGAACCACAGCGAGTTCACCACCTTGCTCTACGAGCTGGACAGCCAGTACGGCAGCCTTTTGTACTACACAGAGATTAAGTGGCTCAGTCGCGGGCTGGTGCTGAAGAGATTTTTCGAATCGTTGGAAGAAATCGACTGCTTCATGTCATCCAGAGGAAAGCCCCTGCCTCAGCTGAGCTCTAAAGATTGGGTCAGAGACTTGGCCTTCTTGGTGGACATGACGATGCATCTGAACACTTTGAACATCTCTCTCCAAGGACATTCCCAAATCGTTACGCAAATGTACGACCTGATTCGGGCCTTCCTAGCAAAACTGTGCCTGTGGGAGACCCATCTGGCAAGGAATAACCTGGCCCACTTTCCCACCCTGAAATCAGTTTCCAGAAATGAAAGCGATGGCCTGAACTACATTCCCAAAATTGTGGAGCTGAAGACCGAATTCCAGAAAAGGCTGTCTGATTTCAAAGTGTACGAGAGCGAGCTGACCCTGTTCAGCTCTCCGTTCTCCGTGAAGGTCGACAGCGTGCGCGAAGAACTGCAGATGGAAGTTATCGATCTGCAGTGCAACACGGTGCTGAAGGCAAAATACGACAAGGTGGGGATACCGGAATTCTACAGACACCTCTGGAGCAGCTACCCGAAATACAGAAACCACTGTGCAAAGATGCTGTCCATGTTCGGCAGCACCTACATTTGCGAACAGCTGTTTTCCATCATGAAACTGAGTAAAACGAAATACTGCTCCCAGCTGAAGGACTCACAGTGGGATTCCATGCTTCACATCACGACATGATGGAGGGAGAACTCCCGGCGGTGCCCACGGTGTGTAAGGCTAGAATCTTCCAGGCTCGAGGCACTGTGAGTTGAGAAAGTTAATTATTAAGTATTTGTTTTTCAGTTTTTTTCCACTTTGAATTGGAAATATAATTTGCAGTATCATACCTGTTTGTACATTTTATGCTTCACCATTCAGTAAAAATCAAGAAAGTTTTATTGTATTTCTAGTAGTTGACTTTTCTTATGCCTGGCCTATTCCATTCATTCACGTTACCTGCCTGACCCCTCGTAGGCACGGCGGTTGGCATCTCGAACTTTAAATCAGTCAGTAGAGAGAGACAAATGTGTATATTCATTGAGGAGTACACACAGACACACACACACACACACACTCACACACACGCACATACATTTATCCCCCCACCCCAATCTGCGTGGTATCCCATGTGGTCTAACACAATTCCAAGTTCAAGGAGAAATAGTTGGGTACATCTTCACATAGTACACTGTTCCTATAGTCTCTGTCTCTGCCTTCTCATGGAGCTAGAAACGTCAGGCTTAAAACAGTAATCCCCAAAACAAATAACATAAGCTATGAAAGACAAAGTAAATTGAGGTTTGGAGGTTGTCTCATTTTTAAAAGCTTTTTATTTTGAAATAATATCAAATTTATAGCAAAGTTGCAAAAATATGAAAAATACCCATATGCCCTTTAGCCGAGTCTCATATTGTAAACATTTTTCCCCAGTTTTATCATTTGTTCAGTTTCTCTCCCTCCCTGCTTTCTCCCCCTCATATACGTGTGTCTGTAATTAGTGCCTAAAATGTGTGTATAAATGACTGTATCTATAATGTTTGTATAAATGTATATGCATTTTTTCTTGAACCATTTGAGGGAAAGTTACATACATCCTTTACCCCTCAATACTTCAGGGGGTATTTTCTAAGAATTGAGATAATTCTCTTACATTACCATGATGCAGTTACCAACAGCAGTACATCAAGCACTGATGCAACACTTTATCTAACTTACTGTTTATTCTCCAGTTTTGAATGTTTACACAGTAACGTCCTTTTCCTTTATAAAGGCATTTTTCCCCTGGAGGGTTGTCATTTGAAAGAATATATATTTGTGTTTGTAATCCCCATTAGTCACTGGAATTAGTGGCCCAGAATTGTGAATACAGGCTGGGCATGGTGCTTCACGCCTATAATCCCAGCACTTTGGGAGGGTGAGGTGGGAGGATTGCTTGAGGCCAGGAATTTGAGACCAGCCTGGACAACATAGCGAGACCCCTTCACTACAAAAAATTTTAAAATTAGGCAGGTGTGTTGGTACACACCTATAGTCCCAGCTATGCTGGAGGCTGAGGAAGGAGGATTGGTTCAGCCCAAAAGTTCGAAGCTGCAGTGAGCTATGATCAGGCCACTGCACTCCAACCTGGGCAACACAGTGAGACCCTGTCTCTAAAAAAAAAAAAAGTGACTACTTTCCATACTGGAGGAATTAATCTGACTAGGGTGCAGGAGGGCTGAGGACTTCGGCCTGACGGCCTCCGGGGAAGCAGTGGAGAAAAGGACTTCGACAAAAATGAAGGGAGATGCAGGAGGGAGAGGCCATCCTCCAGGCTGGTGTCACCTGCACTGGTGCCCAGCCCCAGCACCTGTCTTCAGACACAGGGCGAATGACTCCACCACAGGCACTTCCTGTCTTTGGGCGTCGACTGCAGACACAGCTGGGGAGCTCAGAGGCTCACTTCTTGGAGAAGGAACCCAGGGTCGGCCAATTCCTGGTGCACCTGAACACATGGCAACACCTCATGTCAGAGGTGTGGCCCTGCAGGGGGAGAAGATCAGCCCCTCGTTTTATAGACAGGCAGCTCAGGCTCAGAGTGGTTGAGTGGCTTGCCCAAGATCACGCAGGATTCAAACCCGGGTCCATGTGACTCAGGAGTCCATGTGCTTCATTGCTGAGCAGCCACTGTTCCTGAGATAGCTCGTAGGTGTCTGTTATGCAGCTTCTGCACTTGTCATCTGTCACGTGTCTGGCTCCCTAGCGGGTGGGGACAGCAGGGCTCAGTCTAGGCTGCCTTCTGTTGGCTGGACCATTCATGGGGCTGGTTCTGCTTTGAGGCAACTCCTAAGGCCCTGCGATTCTTTCTTTACCCTGGAATGTGTGTTGGGACCAAGGTAGGCTGAGGTACAGTGGCCACTGACCAGCACTGTCCCTCATGGGACTGAGCCGAAACTGGAATGGGTGGGGGTGGGTTTTGGTCACGGCAATGGGGTGTCTGCAAACAGACACTTGCGAGTGGTGTGGTCGGGGAGCTGGGGGGCTGAGGGCTGGATTTGGGGGCCTGTCAGTTCCCAGGGGTGGGGGTGCACTCCATCTGTCCCAAGGCCCTGTCTTCGCCTCCTAGGATGGGCAGAGGAAGGAGCTGGTCACTTCTCCAACATAGGCCCCAGGGGCTGGGGGTCTGTGGAGCCAGGCCCCTCACTCAGCCTGGCATGTGCCTGTGTGCTCACCCCCCTCCTCTGAGCGCCCCTCAGGCACAGCACCCACCACGAGGTCTGACCCACAGACCATGAGCTCTGCGGGGTGAGGATAGTGTGTGGGATCCAGTATGGTTTCGGCATCAGGAAGAAAAGTCCTGCTCCACCTCCCAGCACGGCCATCTTCTGGCTGTATTGCCTTAAGCAAATCACCTAAACTTTCCTGGCTTTGGTTTCCTCATCCGTAAAATACCTACCTGACAGGGCTGTTCTCAGAACCTGAAATGATACAACGCACCCAGCGTATGCCTGGCCTTGAGAAAATTGTTGGGTGAACAGATGGTGTGGGGCTTACTCAGAGCCAGCACCTTCGGGCACACACCCCCTTGTCTGTGCCGTCCTTCCCTGCGGGCATGCCTTCCTGGCCACTGCGCCCACCTTGAACCCCCTCCTGAGCATGCGACACTGGTACCCGCGCAAGGTGACTTCAAGGGAAATATAGAGAAATACAGAAAAAACATGGGGAAAATATTTGATCAGGACTCCATCTTGGAAAAAAACGAAACTAAAAATTATGAAAATAAGTATTTTATACTGTGTTTAACAGCAGCAACAGCAAGCAGCAACAAGTGTCTGCAAAATGCAAAACTAGTTAAGGGCTCCGTGGTTTTCTCGAGGCCTCGCCAATCCGTTGATGGTCAGATTATTCTCTTGACTGGCATCTGTCCCCTTAGCAGTTTTCTCTCATCTCTAACGGGATTGGCCTTGCCTGCCCTCACGTAGCTACTTTTGCTTAGGAGGGGAACTCGAGGCCTTCATGACAAGCAGCATCTTTCAAAAGATTTGCAGCTCCACTTTGCACCTTAGTGTCTTTTGCATTTTGGGTTAGACCCACCGGCAAAGACTTCCAGGCCCTGGGCTGGCAGCAACGCTAAGGTAAGCGGTGAGGGTCTGTTCATTGGCCAATGCTTCCTGGTACAACCGCCTAATTGGGGCAGGGTCTCGGTGAATAATCAGAGGATACCCCCATACCTAAATTACAAAGTTTAGATACAGCTACAGGGTCACGCCCTGTTACGAGACTGGGCTGGCCCCCTGCGCTGTGTCCACTCATCTTCAGGATTCTTCGGCCAGAGTCCAAGCAGGGGGTTTCTGTCCAGACTCATGGTCAGCAGGGAACCGGAAGTTCCTCTTGCACTTGGCCTTGTGCAAACCTGTTCTTGGCCAAGGCCAGGGCAGTATGCAACAGGACCTCAGCTCTTGCAACTTCCTCTCAGCAGAGTTCACAGCCCCTGTCCTCATTCTAGGGCGGAGCCCAGTCCGCCCTGCGCCTCTGCAGAGCCTCTGTCCACTTCAAGCAACATTTATTGAGGGTGGCTGAGAGCCACGTGGGGCGAGGGCCCAGGGCTGCCCGCGGCATCCAGGCACCAGCCTATATAGTGCACGTATATACAGGGACAGGGGCGGGAGGTGGCGGAGCGGCTGGGCGCTATCTGGGGCCTGCGCCCGGGCCTCAGACGGCGGGCGCCAGCTTCCTCTTGGTGCTCTCGCTGCAGCGGGTCAGGATGAGGTCGGCGCTTGGCCGCGGGGGCACAGCAGGCTGCGGCTTCGCGCGCTGGGTCTGCGGCTCCTCCTCTGCGGGCGGACAGCGCGGCTGGGTCAGAGGCCCCGCCCCGCCCCTGGACACGCCCCGGCCACGCCTCTCCCCTGGCCCCGCCTGGCCGCACTCACGCAAGGGGCTCCCGGCGCCCTGCGCGCCCCGCGCCTGGCGGCGCCGCTGTTGCAGGAAGCGGACGCTGTTGCGGCGGTAGGCGTCCTGGCTGAGGCGATTCCGCGACCGCTGGTGGATGCTGTGCGCGTTGCGGATGGTCGACCTGGCTCAGCGGGACGGCGCGTCGTCAGGGCCCGGGCGCGTCCCGGCAGGAGGGGCGCCCCCGGGGGTCCCCAGACTGACCCGAGGATGTCCCCTTCGCGACACTGACCCTGCTTTGCCGTGGAGCCCAGGCCCGTGTCCCACTCCCTCTCCGGCGTTCGGCCTGCCCTCCTCCCCGGGGAGCCTCCGGGGCTGCCACCGTCCTCGCGACCATCCCCCAGGGCCCTGGGCCTCGCGGGAGGGCGCGTCCAGCCACTTGACCCGGTGAGGGTCCTGCCTCCCCCACCCAGGCTGGGAACCCTGCCCCTTCTCCCTAGCCCGGCACTGCCAATCCAGGGCCTGGACCGACAGAGCGAACTCCCCTCGGCGCCGCCCGGCCCCCAGCCCCAGGGACCCCCGCTCACCTGCGGGGCGGCGCCCCTCGTTTTGTGATCTGGCGTCGGGCCTGGGCCGGGTCCTGCCCCGACTTTTGTAGGTACAGGGACGGGAAGTAACCTGTGACGTCTCCTTTCCTGCAACAGAGGCAGCCCTTGAGGTCAGGCAGTCGTCTTGGGGTGCTGAGAGATGGGGAGGTTCAGGGCTCCCCTTAACAGTTGGGGTCAAGGCAGGCTGAGAGGTTGCAAACAAGACCCTGCCCCTGAGGGCCTCAGTTTCCTCCTCTGCGCAACACAGGCCCTCCCAGCTCTCCGGCAGGGTTTGCGCAGAGGAAGTGAGCAGATCCAGGTCCCCCAGGGGACATGTATTTGCTGTAAGACTGTATTTCTCCGTCTCCTCTTAGGGTGCCTGCCTTTGTGTCAAGAACTGTTGCCCGCCTCCGAGTCACCAAGTTCTTCTATGCTTTCTTCAAAACGCTTCTTAGTTTTAGGTTTACAGTTGGTAAAACCTGTGGTCCATGGGAAATAAATGTTTGTGTATAGTGAGAGGTAGGGGTCGGGGTTTGCTTTTTGGTTTTTTTCCATATGGATATCCAGCTGTTCCAGCACCACTTGTTGAAGATATTTTCCTGTCCATTGTCAATACTATATTTAGGAGGAAAAAAAAACACATTGCACAACACAGACTTCACACAACACGGATGTCACACGGTAAAACTCCTAATTCTTGGCTGGTGGGAAAATCACAAGAAGATTCAGGGGGAGGGGTATTTGTGGCGGCCCAGGCAGGGGGTATGTGTGTTGTGGTCACAGCCTCGGGACAAGCTTGCTGGGGTCACGGGCTGGCCCTGTTACCCAGGGTTCTGAAAACCCCAGCAAGGACCTGGGAGGCCCCGTGGCTGCAGGAAAATGGCCCAACAAGCCCCTAGATCCTGCTTTCCCAGAACCAGAATAAAATAATTAGTATTCCTACATTCTTTGGGAATAAACAGATATGAATTGCAATGAAAGTTTTAATAGGGCCGGGTGCAGTGGCTCACGCCTGGAATCCTAGCATTCTGGGAAGCTGACGCAGGAGGATCTCTTGAGCTCAGGAGTTCGAGACCAGCCTGAGCAAGAGCGAGACCTCCGTCTCTATTAAAAATAAAAAAATTAGCCAGGCACGGTGGTGCGTAACTGTAGTCCCAGCTACCCGGGAGGCTAAGGCAGGAGGATTGCTTGAGCCCAGGAGTTTGAGGTTGCTGTGAACTAGGCTGACACCACAGCCTACCTGGGGTGACAGAGCAAGACTCCGTCTCAAAAAAAAAAAACCGTCTTAAAGGGAAAAGGAAAGTAATCAATTGTGCAGCAGTTCACCAGTGTTGCCAGAGAAGGAACACTGGGCTGGTCAGGAAGAGATCCTAAGTCATAAAGGAAAAATGAACCCATTTGGACAAGGACACTGAGCCCCACAAGACAGGCAAGGTTGGCTCCTCACTCACCTGCTACCAAGATGGAAACAGCACCGAGAGGGGCAGTGGCTTACCCAGAGTCACACAGACACACAGACAAATCAGCCCAGAGCCCAAACAGACTGTGCCCTGGCCAGGGCTGACTCCCGGGTGGGGGCAGTGGGGGTGGAGGGGCTCTCCTACCTGACGACCCACCAGCCGTCCAGGAGCTTATGAATGACATCAATGGTCTCACCCTCGAGCAGGGACACCTCGTCCTCCTCCACGGCTGTGTAGGCTTTGATGGTGATGTAGGGCTCGCCTGGTCCACGGTGGGGGCACAGGACACAGTGTAAGGGTCTGCTCACCACCCCTCCTCTCCTCTCTGGGCCTCGAGCTCCCCCAATTGTTCCAGAGCCCCCTGGAGCCCGCGGTCCCCTGCTCTGGCTCACCCCACGCTCCTCCTGCCACCGGCTCCCAGGGCGCACTCTGGACTTCTGCCCACTGCGCACAGGTGTGCTGCCCACTCCCATCCACCACCGTCCACACTGGGGGCCACGAGCTCCACAGTGACAGAGGCCCGGCCAGGCCCCCACATACGAGAAGTGGCCAGCTGTGCAGTAGGTGGGGACCAACACCCACGTGGCACCAGGAGCCACTCAACTCCAGCCAGCTGTTAGCACATGGGGCTGCAGGCCTTTCCCAGTGTTTAAAGGGGAGCCGTAAATCCACATCACCTGGCGAAATCTATTTTAAAATATGGACAACGAATTCTAACTTTTTTTAACTTAATGCAGGCCCCATCCGGCCTGGGACTGCCAGTTTTCCCCATCTGGTCAGGGATGACGCCACCACCTCCAGCCAGCTCATCACTCAGCTTCCCACTGGAACTGGCCCCATGCCGGGGGCCACCACATGTCCCAGGCTGACCCCCTCCCCTCCCCCACCCTCTGATCTACCTCCTGGTTCCCTGTGCTGACCAAGGGCGTCAAGACCCACCTGGGCCCCCAAGACAGAGGTGATGGGGCTCAGCCCTGACTTCCCCTCTGCCCAGCCAGCAGTCAGGCCAGGCCCCGAGGCAGCCACTCAATATCCCCGCGCCTCCCTGCCTCTTCCTCCCACACCCCCGTGGCCTGGGGGGGCAGGAGCACCTGCATAGTTGGGCTCCGGATCCTCTGCCTCGTCCGGACCGTCCAGGGGCTCCAAGAAGGACGCCGGGACCCAGCCACGCTTCGCCTTCATCTGGCAGAACCACCAGCCTGTGCCAGGGTGGAGAGGAGGGGACTGAGGGGCAGGGCCTGGCAGCCCCCTCAGCCATCGGGGGTGGTACAGACACACGGACACAGGCACACGGACATCCAGCACTCAGATTGCAAAGCGTCCCCTTCACCACACTCAACACCAAAATCACACACACCCACACACGGGCTCTCAGAATTCCAGCTCTGAACCCACTTCCTGTGAGCAGGGCCCCCACACAGGACTCCGCAAGGACGCCCACGGCCACCCCAGGGCGCACTCTCAGAGTGGGCGACCCGCGGTGTGGGGAGGACGTTCAGGGCACCTGAGGGAGCCGGGCCCCCACCCTTGGGCCAGGCCGGAAGGAGGCCAGAGGCTGCCGAGCCCTGGCGGGGCGAGGACCCTACCGCTCTCGCCCTTCTCCACGACGTCCACCACGTCGCCCGTGGCCAGAGCCATTTCGGAGCCCGAGCTCTTCTCGTAGTCAGCGATGGCGCGGTACGTTTGCAGGATGATAGGGCCCGTGATGTCTGGGGCAGAGGGAGGGCAGAGGACCTCAGGGGCGGGTCCCCGTGCCAGCCACCAAAACAGGCACTGCCATCCCCGGTCTCTGCAAGGCCCGCACTTCTGAGAGCCTGGCGAGCTCCGGGCTCCGGCCCCCACTTCGAACGCATCCTCGTTCTCATTTGATGAGGTTAGGGAGTGGCCTCGAGTGGCCTTTCCCAACTTCGACGTGCACCCAGTCCCCTGGGACCCCACTCGGTAGGTCCGCAGTGGGGCCTGAGCCTGCGTTCCTCACCAGCACCCCCAGATATGCTGATGCTGCTTGCTATGGACCGGATTGTCCCCCTAAATCCGCATGTTGAAGCCCCAACCCCCAGCATCTTAGAATGTGACCACATTCGGATACAGGGTCTTGTAAGAGGCAATTCAGTTAAAATGAGGTGACAAGGGAGGGGCCCTAATCCAATATGGCAGGTGTCCTCGGAGGAGGAGCAAGAGACACCGGGGACGTGCAGGCGGAGAGAGGCCAGACGAGGACAGTCTGTCAGCCAAGGAGAGCGGCCTCAGGAGAAACCAACCCTGTCGCACTTTGGTGCGGGGCTCCAGCCTTAGAACCGTGAGAACATTCCCTTCTGTCCTCAAACCGCCCAGCCCGCGCTCCTTTGTTGCGGCGGCGCTGGCCAGTCCCTCAGAGCAGCCCAGAGTCCTTGTCTGGGCATCCCCCTGGCTGGCTCAAACCCTGCTCCGCCACTCAGTCGCTGGGTGACCCTGGCAAGAGTCTCAACTTACATCCAGCCTCGGTGTGCCCAGCCGCACAATGGGGTCACGGCACGGCGGTGCCTATCTCATATTGGGCTAGGGATGGTCATGTGAGTTAGCACCTTTAACATCGTGCCTGGCACAGAGCAAGTGCTCCGTGCATGTTAGGTGTTATTATTACCAAGCACTGTGCAATAAAGATTGGGAACAGACATGCCTCTGCGTCACCTCCAAAGCCCCCCTGGCCCCCAAACCTGTTCATTCCTTCGGCCACAAACATCCCCAAGGCTACTGGGAGTTGTCTGTGCCAGGCTCTGTGGCCACGGAGGTGAGGACGCACTGCCACCTGCAAGGGGCCCCTTTCACTCCCCAGTGACCCCCAAAGACCCAGCCAAGAGCCCTCCCAACCTGCCCCCACCCCTGCCCTCTTCCCTGCATCCCAACCCTGGGTCCCCCCCACCGCCGGTGCCCCGTCCTCTCACCCGCCACACTACTCTTGCCGTCTTTGGGCATCAGGTACGTCTCTGGCTTCTTCGTCCTGGGGAGGGAACGAACGGTCTGGTCAGACACTCGGCTTCCTACTGGGGAAGGACAGGCTCTGGGCAGACCTACAGAAGAACTTCCCAAGAGAAAAAGGGACGAGGGAAACGGGGCCACTGCAGAGAGAAGGAAGCGACTGGACTGGCAAGGGAAGGGCTTTGGGGAGTGACAGAGGGGACCTCTGCTCAATACGCGATACCGGAGGGAGGGACAGGAGGAGGACATGACCCCGCCTCCTGCAGACCCCACGAGGGCGGCACCGTCTGTAGACGAGAGCGAGCCCCTCTGCCTCCCGCCGGCTAACGCGATGCCCCCAGCCTGCGAGAGGCTCTCAGCAGCCCGTGGGCCATCTCTGTCTTCCGGAGCCTCAGGAGAGAGCAGGCGACAGGCAGGGGAGCCCCAGGGTGAGCCCCCCAATCCCAGGCCCTCCCGGCCAGTGACAGCCGCCCTTGCTTGGGCCAGGAGGCACATTCAAGGGTCAGTAAGCGCCTGCCTGAGCAATGCCATCTATGTCTTGGTGGCCTGGGTGCCTTGGCAAGGGGCAGTCCTGTCCTCCAGGCCTGGCCCCTGAGCTTCAGTGACCAGAGAGGGTCGGATAGGGGGACCTCCCTGGCTGCCCGGAGCTCACTCAGCCTCAGGTACCGTCCACGCAGGGCCGTGGGCAGAGGAGACCCAGGGCAGCGGCAGAGGCATCGCCCCACGCCCTACAGGGCGGGTCCTCGCCACCCGTTACAGATGGGGAACCTCCTCAGGGAACGGCGGTGACCAGTGGGGCTCTAGGTCCCATGGCCAGGTGGCCACAGGGTCAGGATGAGGACCCAGGACTTCAGCCCTTAGCCCAGAGCACCTCCCCAGCACCACGAGGCTCGGAAGGATCCAGGGGGAGACTCGGCAGGTCACACAGCCAGAGTTGGAATCCTGCCTCTTTCTCTGTCCGGCTGTGTGATCTTGGGCAAGTGGCTGTCCCTCTCTGAGCTTCAGTCTCTTGCCTATAAAATGGGAAACGTCCAGCCCCTGTTCCCTCCCGTGCCCAGTGGGGGGAGGGAACCACTCACTGGCCGTCTGTGGGGAGCTTGAGGTCGTCGGGGCGCACCTTGAAGAAGTCGAGGAGGTGGGGGCAGCGGGAGATCTTGGCAGGCAGCCCCATGAGCGTGGCGCAGTACTCGGTGAGTGTGCCCTGGCGGTTCTCGGTGGCCCGCTGCCCGTCAAACCACCTGGGGGCTGGCACCAGAGGACTCGTGAACTCAACGACCAGTTCAAGTGGCCGGAGTGGCCAGAGAGGTGGCCGGAGTGGCCAGAGAGGGGCCCGGCCAGGGGCCGCTAGGAGGGCAGGTGAGGGGACCCAGGACAGGTGACCCAGCCCCACTCCTCACCTGGGAGGTGGGGAATGATCCTGTTCTCTGGGTTGATATCCCCCGCCTCGATGGGGAACATTTCTTTTAGGGTTTTCTAAACATGAAAGGAAAGGAAGGTGTGAAGGAATATTCATTATTGCAACACTGTAAAAGCACAAAGCTGGAAACAACCTAAGTTCCTCCGAATCCCTGTGGCTGGAGACACCGGTGCAACCTTGATCCCTCTGTCTTTCTCTCCCACCCCACGTCCAGGTCTCCAGCAAATCCTTTTGTTTCTACGCCCCAAATCTCTCCAGAACCTGGCCCCTGCCCGCCACATCCACTGCCACCCTGGCCCCAAGCCACCACCAGGCCTGGATTATGACAACGACCTCCGTACACCTCTCCCACTCCCATCCTGTCCATCCTCAGTCCAGCTGTCAGAAGAGTCCTCTTAAAACCCAAGTTGGATCCTGCCCCTCCTCTGCTCAGGGCTCACCTGGTTCCCAGCTCACTCAGAGGGGATGTCAGTGGCCTTGGTTAGTCCACAAGGACCCATGTGATCTGCATGTCACCTGCCCCCCACTTGCTCTCCTCCTCTGTGACGCAGGAACACTCCAGGCCTGCACCTGCCCCAGGGCCTTTGCACTTGCTATTCCCGTTCTTCCCTTACGTATATAAATAGAGCACTCTCTGTCTCTGTCTGTCTCTGTCTCTCTCTTTCTCTCCCTCTCCTCCTTCAGCCCCTCCCCAGAGCACAGCATTGACAGTGGCCCCTCCTCCCACGCCCTCCCTGTCCCCCCGCCCTGCCCTATCCCTCTCCATGGTTCTCATCGCCATTTAACACACCATGTGAATGACTCACGCTCCCTTTGTTTTCCTGACTCCTGAGGTCCAGGGGCGTGGGGAGGATTTGCATCTGCTTTCTGCTCCCCCCACGGCCCTCACCCCGCCACCTGTCCTGCTCACAGCCAGACACGCCCGGCACCTAGGAGGCGCTGGGAATCAGACGATCCAGCAGTCAATAAAGGGGGCTTAGTCTACAATGAAATGACCTAGAACCTTCTAAAGAGGTGAGACGGAATGACACACATAGCAGTGAGGACAGGTCTCAAAAACTCAAGAACCCAGTGACAGCAACAAGATGGAGAAGGAGGCAAACAGTGCTGATGCCGCCTGTATACATTGCTGAGCAGTGCTTCGTGCTGTCCTTGGACTCAGCGTGTGTGTGGCGAGGGGCGGGGGGTCACCCAGGGCTAGGGGCTGGGATCTGGCTTTGGTGGCCCCTGCGTCCACCTGTCCCTGTCTCAGACCAGGACCCAGCAGCTGAGCTCTGCACACCACGACGTCCTCATGGACACCCCCAATTCTGTCCAACCAATCGCTGGTGTCGGGGCCCTCCCTTCTAGAACCTACGGGATTCTTTCACGGGAACCCTGGTGACCGCAGACACCCACAAGCAAGAGGACCTGCTTTCCTGGGCATCAGTATTATTAACGTCCTTCTGGTACACGAGGGAGCCTGTTTGTGCCAGTGGCCATGCCCGGCTAGCTCCGGGGATGCGAACCTCGTGGGGACCCCGGCCAGGCTGCTCCCTGCAGGGACAGGGCAGGTCCACCCCATAAGAATATCCCTTTGAATTAGTGTTGAATGGGTCCAGAGCTCCTATCTGGGAAGACGAAAAATTCTGGAAGTGGATAGTGGGTGATGGTTGCAAGAGACGGTGAAAGTACTAATGCCACTGGATTGGACACCTAAAACGGTTAAAATGGCAAAGGTTATGTTACAAATATTTACCACAACAAAATATGCTTTAATGACAAGAAGAGGTGAATTTTTAGAAACCAGCTTCCAGGCTGAAACCCCTTCCCTCGTTACTGATGGAGTAGAAGTACAAGACTGTCAATTAGACCCCTTCTTCTCTTGCCTGTTTTTCCTGCCTTCTCTGTTTCTGTCCCCTCCCTCCTGCCATCCTCAACACTCACGTGGAACTCGTAGATCTCCGTGAAGCGCCGGTAGACCACCTTCTCGGACAGGTCCTGCCACTTCACCAGGAACATGTACACCTGGGGGGAGGCCAGGGTGGGGCACCTCGTTCAGCTTCCAAGGGGGCCTCGCCACGCACCTGGCTGCCCTCTACCCACTGGGGGAAGCCCGGGGATTTGGGTGAGGGAGATCTTTGGGGTTGCCTGGGCCACAGAAAAGGCACAGATATGATGGACCCAGAAGAATCTATGACATTCTAGAGCAAACAAAACGAATTTAAGGTGAAAAACAGTAAGAACAGTGGTTGTCTCTGGGGGCAGGAGAGGAATGACTGGAGCATGAAGGAGTGTTCTAGAATGATGGTAATGCTCAAAACTCAACAAATGGCCGGGCACAGTGGCTCATGCCTGTGATCTCAGCAGTGTGGGAGGCTGACAGGAAGATCGCTTAAAGCCAGGAGTCCAAGACCAGCTGGGCAACATAGCAAGACCCTGGCTCTACAAAAAAAATTTTTAAATAATAGCTGGGCATCGTGAAGGAAAAAAGACAAAAATCTGATAGAAAAATGGGCAAAAATCATGAACAGTTCAGAGCATGCACCCACACACATATGTATGTAACTCAAACATATAAAGAGGTGTTCAACTTATAGTAATATAAATACAGGATAATTAGGTGTAAAATAGTGAAAACAATCTAATCAGTTGTTTGAATAAACAATGGCATATTGGTACAATGGACTATTAAGCAGATGTCAAAAACATAAGAGAGACTCAATGAATTAATTTGAAGGGAACTCCAGGATGTTATAGCAAAATGCAAAAAGCATATATAGCATGTCAACTTGTTTATTATGTATGTGTAGTAAAGAAGAAAAAAGTGTAAAAATTTAGACAGATGTCTACTTCTTTTTGCAAATGGAAACACAGGAAAAATAAACCAGGATAAGTCTCTGAGCATATCTTTTTGTCACATTTTCATGTTTGAACACATGTTAATATTTTACATATTTAATTAAAAAATATTTTACATATTTAAAAATAAAATTAAATCAACAAAGGTTTTTTTAAAGCCTCCAAATTGAAAGCAGACAGAAACAAATGAACTTAGCTCTACACCAAATCAGTAACATAACCATATTAAAGAAAAATGGAAAAGAAATAATCCAAGTAACTTTTAGTTACAGCAGTTTTATTACCCTCTATCTAAAGATAAAAGGACACAAAGAATTGCAAAGAACGATTTGAACAAATAGGTTAGTAGGTGTATTGCTCGTTATACACCTACTGTGGTATGGGCGGAGTAATTCTGAAACAACCTTACGCGTACTGTAGGATTAAGCAAAAGAGTAGATAGGTTGATCTTGCTGGGAGCAGGGTTCTCACGGTGCAATATCAAATGGTGAAAGGCAAGGATCATATGAAATTGCTATTTTCCCTGGTCTGTGTGCTGAAAGGATGCAAGCGATGATGCCCAGTGCCAATGAGCACACCTTGCTTCCAGACCTTGGGTTCTAATTTCCCTCCCCACTAAAAAAGCACCAAAAATGGCTGAGTCCAGGGCTGGGGCCGGAAAGTGCTAGATAAACCTGGAGCACATTGTGCCAGAAGTGAGGACATGCTCAAAGGCTGGTGGGTCGTGTCAAAAGGGCGGAGAAGCCGGCTTGAAGGAGCTCCCACTGGCCAAATATGGGACAATCCGAGCATCAAAATAAGTAATGATAGGAATGGATTATAACCCATTGAATAAAATAGGAATCTATGCATCCACATTGATATCAGTAAACAAGTAAATATGGGAAAAGGGAAGACTCTTATAGTAAAATGTTAACTAATAGATGCAGAAGGAATGAGAGAGTTAAAAAAATCACTCTTTCGTGATCATTATAGTATAATTAGATCTAGGCACGAGTTACCAGGGGCAGGATATTCACATAGTTTCAAAGAATCTCCCTGGAGTTTGTTGTTAATTGCAAAGGGACAAATCATAAGTTTACAATAGAGGAACTTGCAAGACACGTCCGTGACCTAGGTGTCAAAGTTAACGTCTCCAACATCAGAACAAGTCAAAACTGCATGTCACCTGACGGGATCCCACGAGAACAACACAGCATCACCTCCAAGATGTCCCTGCCCTAGAGGCATCACCTGAATCTAATGAAGAAGTGTCCGATAAACCCAAATCGAGGGATATTTCCACATAGTAACTGGCCGCTCGCTTCGAAATGCAGAAGTGGCAAAAACAAAGAAAAGCTGATTAAGACAGATCCAGATGAAAGAAGCTAAAGGATATGACAGCTGATTGATCCCGAATTGGATTCCGGACTTCGAGCTTTTATTGCAGAGGACAAGTAGGATGATTGGGGAAATCTGAATAAAGTCTGGGGTTTGGATAATAGTGTTGTATTAACTATTTCCTGATTATGACACATGTGCATTGCGGTTATGGAAGAGAATGTCTTTGATTCTAAGAAATACACACCACCTAGTATTTAGGGGTAAAGAGACATGTCTTCAACTTACTCTCAAATGAGTCAGAAAATTTATATTCAGAGAGAGAAAGAGAAAGAGAAAGAGAAAGAGAAAGAGAAAGAGAAAGAGAAAGAGAAAGAGAAAGAGAAAGGTGTGAAGAAATATTGGAGTTATTGCTACTCTTTGGGCAACTTTCTGTAAATGTGAGATTATTTCAAAAGTAAAAGTTACAGGCCAGGCAGGTGGCTCACGTCTGTATTCCTAGCACTTTGGGAGGCCAAAGAGGGAGGATTGCTTGAGCCCAGAGGTTCGAGACCAGTTTGAGCAACATAACGAGATTTGCCATCTCTATAAAAAATAAAAATAAAAAAATTAGCCTAGCACAGCCTGTAGTCCCAGCTACTCGGGAGGCTGAGGCAGGAGGATCACTTGAGCCCAGGAGTTGGAGGTTGCAGTGAGCTATGATAATGCCACTGCACTCCAGCCTGGGTGACAGAGCGAGACCCTGTCTCCCCAAAACAAAAAAAAGTTACAGAGAAAGAAAAAAGGTCTTGGCACATAGGACTAAATGCTCCACACAAGCGCCATACAATTCACTAAAGGGAGTTCCTCCCTGGTCTTCCTCTGGGCTTGGGGACCCTCAGTGAGGGGCCGGCCATGTGTGGGCAGGTATTTCTCCCTCCCTCGCAGGCAGGAGGGGCCCCTTTTTTGACCGCTGTGATGCTGGGACCCTACTGGAGAGGATAAGACTCTAATGTAACTGACGCCAGAAGAGCAGGGGGACAGAGAGCGCCAGTTGCCCGGCCTGGGTCCCGAAAGGGCCACTCCCTACGAGCTGAGCTGTCAGGGAGGGCGGGCAGTGGACCTCAGGGCCGGCTGCAGGGCCGTGGCAGGCGAGCAGGGAGCGGACTCCTGGCTGGGGCCGGGGCCGTGGGTGAGGCGGCTGGCTGGGGGAGCGGGCCGGGCAGGTGCGTCCCAGGCCAGCTGTCTCCCCAGGGCGGGGCCGGGGCGCCGGGGCGCATCTCTGGGTGTCAGGGGCCCGCAGCCACTGTGTACCGGGCGGGCAGATCCAGGGCCCAGGACCGGGAGCCACGTGCCCAAGACCGCGCCCCCTTCGTCCTCCCGGTCCAGGGGGCCCAGGTGGCTGCACTGTCCCTTACTGTGCACACCCCCCCCACTCTTGCGGGGCGCCCGGGGCTACTCACATAGTGCTGGCTGGGGGCGAAGCGCTTCTCGAAGCCCAGGAGGGCGATGTGCCGGATGAAGGTGTCCCCCATGGCTGGAAGGCGCTGTGACCTGGTCTTGTCCTGGCGGCTCAGGCTGGGCCTTAAATGCGCTGGTAAGAGGAAGTCCCTTCTGTTGCGGTTGGGGGTGAGGGGGAGCAGAGGGGGCAGGGAGGGCGCAGAAAGGGCTTTACTTCTTCTTTCAGTTCCTGGAGACTCTTCAGGCTCGCCTGGCGTGGCCATGGGTGGCCACACGCACACACGTGTGCAGGGACAGCTTGTCCTCGTCCTCGTCCTCCCTGTGGAGGTTCCGCTGGGAACACATCCGAGCTGCTTCCACTTCAGGGCCTTTGCACTGGCTGTTCCCCCTGGCTGTCTTCCCCACGTATCTGTAACTCTCTCCCTCCTTTCTCTGCTCAAATGTCACCTCCCTCAAGAGGCCTACATTGATAACTTCACATAAAATAGCGAACTTCATTCCTCACCAACCGCTTCCTGCGTTATTTTCCTAGGGCACTTCCCATCAGTGATGTAGTGCCGATTTAATTCACGTCTCTCCTGACCAGAACAAGCACCCCGTGAACGCAAGGACGTGGCCTGTTTCTTCAAGGGCTCTGGCCCCAGCCCCTGGATCTGTGCGTGGCACACAGTGGGCCCCTCATGAATATCTGGATCGTGACCGCATCTTTCACAGTGAATGAGTGAACGCATACCTCCACCGCACCGTGTGCCAGCCTTGGGTGCACAGCCCGGGCGTGTGTGTGGCTGAGGGCCAGTGGCAGCCGGGACGGACATGGCACAGACTGAGTAGGACCTGAGTTCAAATCCTGATCAATGAATCGTTCCTGCTCCAGTTCTGCCAGGAAGAGGATTTGGGACAAAGAGGCACGGAGAGGGGCAGCGTGCCTGGGGACAGGTGAGGCCTCTTTCTCCCACTGTCACTAAAGCCTGGGAGGCTCAGAGCTTATGCTCTAGTCCAAGGTCACAGGTGGCCAGCCGCAGACTCAGGTTGTCTGGCTGCAGCCCCCGCCTCCCAGCAGGTCCCGGCTGCACCGCCCAACGCTGGCCCGAGCTCAGGAAAAGTGGGCAGGGCCAGTGTGCGGCCCAGACCTGGGGATGCCAAGATTGGGGGACCTAGAGCACTCTGAGAGCCACGTGTCCCCAGCTAGACTTGGCTGGGGGGAAGGGATGGGGTCTGGCAGAGGGGGAGCCAAGACATGCTGTTTCAGGACTGTCAACATGACTCAGTCAAGTTCGAGGGTGTTCCTGGTTTTGTTATCTAAGAAGTGGTGTAGGGTCCCTTTCATGTGCTCTGGAAGGTTTGCTTGGCAGGTGCTTCACTTACTGAGAAAGGGCCCATCTCCTGCTGCCTCCTGCACCCCCTGGCCCCCACCCGGGTTTTTCCGGCCTTGGTTTTTTCTTTCTTCTGTTCTTTTTGGCTTTTTCCCCGGCGGAGGGTTGGTCGGGGGCATTGGGCCGTTCTTGGGCACGGCCAGGGAGTTTTCCCCCACCTTTGTTGACCTTTCCGGCCCGGTTTTGGGGGGGGGGCGGGCGGCCTCAAGGCCCCGTTGCGTAGGATGAGTGTATCCCAAGCTCAAAACCTGCCGGGCCCAGTCTGCGGTGCGGGGAGCAGGGGTGGCCTGGGGTGGGGTGGGCTGGGGCACCGGGAGCAGGCGGTGGCGCATGGTGTGTGCCCCTTCTCGAGAAGGGCGCTGGTTCCACAAGTGGCTGCACTTTCTGAAAATCAACCCAGCTGCACACTCGAAAGATTTGTGGCGAGCCCTCTTTCTGTGGGTGTTTTAACTTCAATACCAAGTTGAAAACAAAACAAAAAACAGGTTCCGAGCGGGTTACTGGATGGCTGGCTTTCCTCAGGTGACCCCGAGGTGGTTGGGAGGGCGGCCCCTGGCAGCACAGCTCCCCGCAAGTGGCTGAGCTGTTAAAATGCCCCCCTCCCCGTGCCAGACAGTCTGTCCCTGGCCTTCCCTGTCACCCATGGTGTGGCCCCAGCAAGGATGCAGACCGGGCGGTGCTCACCTGGGCAAGACGGGGCGGAGGAAGGGCCAGGAAGGCGCGGTGGCGGCGGCGCTTGCTGCAGCCCTCGCACTTCCTCCCCTCCCGCCGCCATCCTTCCCGTCCTGCGGATGCCCTGAGCCGCCCGCGGCCACCTTCCCACTCTCCTGTGGCTTGGCTGTGCTCCCACTTGGCCTGGAATGTTTGCTGGGTGGCAGAGGCATGACGTGCTGAGTGTGGCCTTGCAACGACCTCTGTAAACAGGCTCAAAAATCCTTTCTGCCAGGATGAGAAAGGATTTCCTTTAATGCACGGATGAAACCAGGACTAAATGATTTTTAAAAATTTTTTTAAAAAGGAATAGACAAAAATGAAGGAAGGAGGTAATGGGGAGAGAGAGGATTTTTTAGGGGAGGAGATGGCATTTTTGAAAACTTTGTAAGATATGTAGAAAACTGCCCAGCTTAGCTTATTATTATACATCATAAGTAGACATCTAGTTAACCAGCACTGGGTATTAGATGCCAGACCCCCAGCTCCATCTGGAGCTGACAGGAAGGCCCTGCCCTGTGCCAGGCACGTTCTCAGTGCTTTCTGTTCGGGATGACATCTGCTCACATTGAGGCTAACAGATACTAGGTCCTATCATTTTCCCCATTTCACAGATAGGAAAACTGAGGCACAGAGAAGTTAAATAAGTGGCCACAGCTGGGAAGTGTAGAGCTCCCCTGCCTTACCCTGGAACGGTGTGACTGGTGTGACTGGATGAACGAGTGAATGAATGATAATTGGGTTGGGGGGGCGGTTCAAGAGGGAGGAGTCCGCCTGTGGGAATGTCCCAGAGGGAAGTTCCTTGTGAGGCTAGCAGGGAGGAGAGGCAGGGCTTCCCCGTCTGGTCTCTCTCCAGATGCCATCATCTCTACCCTCAGGCCACTTGGCCTCCTCCAGACGGGCTGGGCTGGCCACTTCCTTAGCCAGGAAATCCCCAGGGCTGGGCCAATGGAGACAGACAGTGTTTGGAAAGCGGCTTGGCATCAGGGTGTGAGGCCCAGGCGGTGCCCTATGGGATCTTTGTCACCAGGGGAACCTCGGACTTCCCAGGATTGAAATAAATCAGCCTTCATGTGTGGCAGTTCTTTCTCAGGTCTACCTTAAACCTCTCCTGCTGCCCCTTCTTGCCAGGATCCCCTTTGCAGGCCCTGTGTGACGTCTCCTGGGCCAGTCCACAGGCCCATTCTCCCCAGTGCCTAGGGCAGCAGGACGGGGCCCCAGGCACCTGTGTACCCAGTGGTGTGTGCGGCTGAGGCTGTAATGGCCGGCAGGTGTCTCTGGGCCAAACGTGGGCCACGCCCTTATTCTCTGCCTCCCCAGGGACCTCTCTTCCTTTCTCAGCAAAAGCAGACCTGGGGTGGGCTCGGCCTGGCCAGGGATGAACCTTTCGGCCACACCAGAAGGGAACCAGCTGCCAGCACTCAGGAGGCCGGCTCAGGGCACACCTGACCACGGCCCTAGGAATTCCCTTCTCCCCTAGACTCTGCCCTCCAGGGTTTGGCCTGGGGGCGTCGGAGGGGCATTCAGGGGAGTCAGATAGAGGCCCAGGCCCAGCAGGAGAACATGTGGGCGGTGACCGCTGGGCCGTGGGCTGTGAGGCCTGGAGCCGATGCAGACCCCTCCGAACCCCGGCTCCTCCACGCCTAGTCGTGCGGCCCTGGCAAGTTTATTCAAGCGCCGGCCCGGTTTTCAATGGCACAACAGCTGCACCTACTTCGTAGTCTGCTGAGGACGAGCTGGGCAAATGCTGATTCTCGCGAGGAGCGGGTGCAGTGGGGCAGAGGTGGGGACACAGGCTGCCCGGCCAGCAGGCAGGGCGGGTTCTTGCTGTTCAAACTGGGCTTTGAATGAGAATGCCACCTACGGGAGCAGACACTCGTGGGGCACCATGGAACCACCGCAGGCCCTGCGGCTGTGTTCTCGGTTCAGGTACCTTCACAAGTCCGCTGGGTCTCAAGCATGAGCCCCGCGAAGCCCACCTGGGAACTGACACCCACGCATAGGTGCTGTCCCCGCCTGTTTGGTGTGAAGCTCAACTGTCCCGTGGCCAGGGCTCCCAACAGCCTGTGACCTGTGTCAAATGCTGGGCCACTCTGAGTGCCTCTAGACAGCGTCCCAGCAACAGGCTTTCCCAGAGGGTTTAGTCACCAAAAGGGAGAGGACAATTTCAGCCTAAATCATAGAGCAGGGATTCAACAGATCCTTTCAGGGCTTACCTAGACTTCACAGCCTGTGGCACCCAGGGTTCTGGCAAGTGGGCCTCTGCTCTTTCGCTGCCCCTGGTTGGGGTCTCACTGTGTGCCCTGGGGCACTGACAGGGGCATGGCTTCGATGGGGGTCACTCCTGCTCTAGGGAGCCTGAGCACCCGCAGCCTGGTGCGCAGGCAGGAAATTGGTATTACCAAATGCCCTATTCTTGCTCCAGAAACCTGCTACAAACAAACACCTTTACAAACTAGTGTTGCATCACAGCTTGTTTTCAGTGCTAAACTTCCCTGATACTTCCTCAAAAACAAGTTTACTTTCAGGTGGTGGGGGGGTAGGGCAGGAAGGGATGTCCCCTTTACAGCGACAGGGTAGCCAGGGGAAACTCCAGGCCAGTCAATCCTGGGGTGGTTTTTAACCCGTTTCCAGGTTGAGTTCCACCCACCCTTTGTCATCAACTTAGGGACCTGTGATTGCTACGATCAGCTGCGAACTGCCTTCAAACCTGCCCTTTGAGGCAAGAAAGCTGGCGGCTGTGAGGCGAAGTACAGAAAGCGGAGGGTCCTGCTCAGACTGGGGTGGAGGCGGAGACCAGCGATGCTCGGGCAGTTCCAGGTGTTAAGAGCTGCCACACGAAAGAGAGCAGCCTAAAGTCTCCTTCTTCCCCATCATAGGATAACAAGGGCATCTTGGGGAATCTTCACCTTCTGAAAACACACATCCTGAAACTCAGGCTTTCCACGTAGGAAGGTGGTGAGTACTCCATTAAGTGTGTGACAATTATCTGCCCATTAATGTTTAAGCCAACCAAGTCCCTTGAATTTACATAGACCAG